AATATTCCTTTCAATGAGAAAGATTTCCATTCGAAAACTCCAATCTCCATAATTCGTTCCATCAAAAAGTGGTGGCTTGTATCTATCTTCCTCCATGCTGCTAACTTCCACAACATGAGTCGAAATAAAACCAATCAAGATACAGCACAAATTCCGATGTCGAATTCACTTCCTATACTATTCCTGGGCCCATAACCTGTTGGTAATTGGGTTAATAATTACGCAGAGTTAACTATTGCACAGTAAAAGTATATTTGTAATTATTTAAGTATTTAAGAGCACGCCAACACACATCAATTCACAAGAAGCCATTTTTCTTCCTGCTCCTACCCAAAACACTGAACAGCAAAAACCAAAGAATAATTCATACATGTTGCCAACTTTGAACTTGACCACTCATCAAAAGGCTGTACATAGTCTTCATTATTTCTTGCTTTATTTAATGACAGTTTATGAGGTAAGAGCATATAATGGGAGAATGGTTATGAATGTCTTGGTATATAAGTGGAAAAGGATAGCTGTAACCTATCATTAAGGTACCATGCCACCTACTGCCTGGAGAGAATGGGGAAAGCCATAAAAATCTGTTAGAATAGCAAATTTCTAGTCCCCAAATCTGTGATCTTCTGATTAAATGAAAGATTACAGTCATTAAGCTATAAATTTAGTGTAATAGTCCAGTGCAGGCTTGTCAAACATGCAAGCATTTTTGATGTCATAATATATTTATTTGTATGGCCTACATGTTGAAATATACAAAATAAATTACAAGAAAACACCAGTTCCTCACAGTATAATGGAAACACATCAATCTCAAATCCTTAAATATGGCTGTACTACTTGTATGCCCATAAAAGTATTTCTCTAGAAGACTTGTAATCTTCAGCCCAGTTCTTCTCAGTAGCAATATCAAATCAAATCAAACACTAGCCAATACTATCATGACACAGAAATGTCTGTCCTGCCTAATCTTGATATTATTACGAGGTTTCAAGAGATATCTGGCAGATAAAAACTTATATAACTCAGTGGATCAGCGTTCTAATTGAGAAGCTAATGGTAACTCTAGTCATGAAGTTCTTGGTCATATACAGAAGTGAGATGTTCGTCATAGTACCATGTTTACAGGGGCCTGCTACTGGTCCCTGTCCGGATTCAAATGATGAATCCATACACACTCACCCTAATTCTATAAGTTTAATGTTACTAATATCCTCATATCTATGCCTATGACTTAAAATTTTTCCCTTATCTTCATGTTTTCTAACCAAAACTCTGTATGAATTTCTCATCTCACCTGTGCCTGCTGTCCTAACCATCTCACATTCCTTGATTTAGTCATCCTAATAATACTGGGCCAAAGTACAAACTATGAAGATCTTCATTAAGAAACTTTCCCCAGCCCCTTGTAACTGCCTCTCTCTTAGGTAAAGACGTTCTCTGAAGAACCCTGTTGTCAAACACCCTCAATCTATGGTCTTTCCTTAATGTGATACACCAGGTTTCACACTCATATGAAACAACAGGCAAAGAGCAATGTTATGTATTGTAATATCTATGTCTTTAGAAAGCAGATGGGAAGACAAAAGATTCTGAATGGAATAGTTGCAAGCTGTCCCTGAACTTGAATGAATGCATGAATGAATAAATGTATAAGGGGTGGGCCTTCTCAGCCCTTGCACCGCAACCTACAGTGATCTATTGTGCTTCCCCATATGATTATTCCCGCAGCAATCTTGCGCTTCGAATGAAGCACAGGATTTTGTATGTGGGGGCGTCGGAATAGTCACTTGGTTCCATAAAGTATTGTCCCAAGTGACATAATCTCAGATAAGCTAAGGCCTCACATTCACACAGGATGTGTGTGGTTTTATTTTCTTCTTGACACCTCTCACAAGTTGGACTATCACTTAGTCCCAGTTTGAAGAGGTCTCCTTTAAGGTGACAGTGTCCCACCACCCATTGTAGCTGGTTTCTTTGCTCTTTTAGCAGAGGGTCCTCATTTGAGTCCCTTTGCTTGCCTGAGTCCAGTCAAGGATACCCAGTATATCTTGTGCTTCATATTTGTCCAGTCCCTGATTGCCTGTCTGGCATCTCCTATAGAGATGTCACAGGCTGGTTCAGGTCCTATGAATGGATGTTCAGCTCCAATCTTAGCCAATTGATCTGCTGTTTCGTTTCCAGCAATACCCTCATATCCCGGCACCCATATCAGTTGTACCCTATTATGTTTGGCCAGTTCCATGAGGGTTTGGTTGCAATCCCAGACCAATTTTGAGTTGATCTGGTGTTTGTCAAGCACTTTAAGTACAACCTGGCTGTCCGATAGAATGTAGATGTTCCTATTTCTGTAGTTCCTATCTAAATTCTCCATAATACATGCCTTAATGGCATATACTTCTGCCTGGAACACTGCTGTGTACTGCCCAAGGCTGAAACTAAGTTTCCACCTCGTGCCATAGCAGTACACACCAGCTCAAGTGCCCTTACTTATCTTGGAACCATCTGTATACCAGATCAGTCCCCCTTTTCTATGAGGCCATATCCCATCTTCCCATTCACTCCTGTCAGGAAATATGACTGTGAAGGGTTTTTCATATACATGTCCCAGTATCATTTTGTCAGACCCAATTTGTAATATGCGTTCTTTTTTCATTGTGCCTGAACTTAATCTGGTTGTAATTTCTTCAATAATACAATTATGGTTCATTACTGTTTTGAGCATTAACTTATTTTCAAAGAATGTATAAATATTGGCTGTGTTTATATAATGATTCTGCCCTGCAGTCTGGTGACAAGATATTAAGAAGTGCCTGTATTCTCTGTTTACTTCTATACCAACCTTCTTGTTAGTGAATAATAGAGCTTCTTTATTCCTTTTCACGGCATCTGTGTTTTCCCCCAATAAGTTTATAGCATCAGCATAAACCAGAAGTTGGTGTATCCCATTCAGTTCTGCCCTCCAAGTTTTCTTTTACTATTCTAAAGGTAAATTGTATATCATGTCCATTACAAAACCTGGAAGTGTATTCATATGGAGGTACATGCCATACATTAGTTCCAAAGCATCTTTTTTTAACAAAGCCGTGCCAAGTACCTACAGTTATCATTCTCATGCCTCCCAGTTTCTCTTCTGTAACTTCTGGTACATCTGATGAAGACCTAGCACCATCAATTTCACTGCAGCACATCCATCAACTTTAGAGTCTATCTTACCACGAGTGTGAGAACATAATATTATTCTTTTCTGATTTCAAAATGTCAAGCTTCTGGAATGTATTTAAATCTGGAATTATTCCTTCGACTGAAGATGGCACATGATATTCAAAAGGCAATATTAATGCAGTAGTTAAAGGCCTGGAAGACCAAAGCAACGTGACATATGTTGTTAGCCAGTATTTCAGTAATATCCTTTATAAGCATGCCAGTTATTTGTGCCCTGCTCTTTTGCTAAGCCTCTAGCCATGTATCCAAAAGCCATTTCCATTCCTGTCTGTTACTTGTATCAGCAAAGATATGGTTCTTCAGCGAAGTAAACTGATGGCAGTGGTGATGGTGCTGACACCTCCTCCTCCTCCTACTACTACTACTACTACTACTACTACTACTACTACTACTACTGCTACTTATACTAATACTAATACCAATACTGCTGCTGCACATGTATTATGTAGTATATTTCACCACCATCTTCATTTGGTCAGTTCCATGAATCATGCAGCATATAGCTAAAAACAAACGCAATACTCTTGCTCAGTTTGACAATTACTGATAACATGACTGCAGATCCCTCAAACCGTGATGACAACACAACCATCCTGAAGGTGAAGCAAGGTTATGAACCTCCCACATTCACTGGCTTCTTTGGAGTCTGGGATACTTCACTGTGGAATGTAAGTTATTATATAACACTGGTTTGATTTCTGATTAAGTACAACTACATAACACACAGGCAGCAAAATTTATAAGTGTGGGCTACACTGGAGAAGTCAATGTATTAACATCATTATCCATAAAAGATCTGCATGCTCAGGGCCCTTAGGTATGGAAACTGAAATTGGGTCCAAATCCATCCTGAAATAACGGTCACAACAAAATGTGGTTTTCTGACAAGAACTAGTTAAAAGGGAAATTTATGTTCAAAGAATAAACACTTAAATTAAATTCCAAAGTAAATATGAGGATTTAAATAGTAACACCTGTAGGAAGTGGTGATATTTTATATTATAGCCTGGTACTAATACAGAAGTAAATACAGGATATTCAGTTTAAATGAAAATATATTGTTAGCAAAGTGTGGTGCATGATAGAGTCATGGATCCACAGCTGCTAAGGCAAGTGATGAATGGTTTTCCATTAGCAGTCATGTCAGTATTCAAAATGTGCAAATATATGCTGTGAATCCAGATTGGTGCATGAGGAGTGTATTTAATCCTTCTTCAACTAATTAACAGATGCACAAAAATCAGTATTTTCAGTAAGATAATGCTGCAGCATATACTGCTGACAAGACAATGTCAGCTGTACTTGAAGCATTTGAGAACAGAATAATCAGAAAGGACTGGCCTCCTAGGTTCCCTCATAGTTGATAAAGTGATTATTTTCTCTGGAGATATTTGAAGGGAGAGCATACAAGAATGATTCCCACACTGTGAGGGCTCTGCAGAATGAAATAACACACATCATATATGCTGTTAATATGCACACTGATAGTTGTCTATATTTCCACTCGGCTTTGGTGTTTGTTTATGTAACATCAGCTCTTGCAAATGGTGTATGATACTGATGTCATCCTCATGACTTCCTAGTTATGGTAACTGTGATCATGCTATACCACCACTTATTACTTTGTTATAATCCCTATGTTAATTACATATGCCATATATATATATATATATAAAAATTACTATGCTGAAGTTAAGTGATGTACAGCAGTTGTTTGATGTCAAGTATCGTTTAAGGATTTAAGGTTCACATTTTATGCTTTGAATACAAGATATCCCTTACTTTTGAAGGACTTCTTTTAAGCTTAAAAGGTTGTCTTAACACCATATACAGTATGCCTGAAGGTAGAAGGAAGTCACTAGCATTATGCGTAAAACATGGTATTATTATTATTATTTTTAGAGAGGGTGGATTTCCCCATGCACCACGACCAGTTTGATCTATTGTGCTTCCCTCTATGATATTCTACCAGTCTCTATACCCTACCGATAAATGGTGCGTACCATCAGTCCTGCCGAGCAAGCGAGTTCGGCCACTTGCTTAGCGGTGTCTATAATGCTTCCCCCATCTATTGGAGGCCTTAGAGACTATTGTCCTGGAATTTGGCTCAGTGATCCCCTTTGGGGATATGAGGTTCTTTTACGTGCCATAAAGTTATGACATGGGACACACAGCTTAAAGTCCCTCCCGGAGGACTTGTTCCCTGAATTTTTCCGCCCTTAAAAATTCGACGACCTCCGCCGGGTATTTGAACCCACGTGCCACGAGTCATGAGGTGGGAACGTTACCTCTAGACTACGGAGGCCGCTGTATAACATGGTAAGTTCATGTCACTTCTTACAGTAAATAGTAATGACGTTCTGTGAAAGTAGAGAGCCAGCACTGCATGCAGGAAGACAGTGCCCTCTACGGTAATGCAGAAAATTATCACATGTTTCTGTCATAGATGAACACTGCAATAGCCTGGTCTCAAAATGTAGCAGATAATAGGAAATTGTAAATAGTGCTTGTGCCTTATATAGTAACTGGGAACTGGCAAATGTAATGCAAACAGTGGCTGGGGCTCAAACTGTAGCTTAGAACTACCGTAAAAATTAGAAATAATAGCTGAATCTTAAACTGTAGCTGGGTGCTAGCACAGAAATTTCAAATATTGACCCCATCTCAAACAATAACTAGGCACAGAAATCACAAATAATGACTGAGTCCAAGTACTCTACATGTAGGAAACAAGACATGAATGACAGTGACCCTCTCTGGGCCCAGACTAAGAATTCAAATCATGCCACTACTGTTACAAATTAACAGCATTTTTGGTATAGGATAACAAATCATTTGAGGATGTGCGTCACGAACTAGAGGGTAGCAACCCAGTCCTGGAGCTGGACCCCCAACTGATTGATGGCGCAAGGAACTTCAGTGACTTCCCCAAGTATCCACTGGAGAAGCTCCAGGCTTCAGCTGATGACTTGCCTGAAGATGTAGACAAAACACGCAGAGAAGTAAGGACAACCATACTTTATTTTTTATTTCACTTTACTCAGAATGTGTTAGAAATTAAAACACTAACTACTGCTTAATTGAGTGTCACTACATTACTATAAAAGTTTGCCTAGGCATCTGATAGTCTCACTGAAGGTTCTTATGCCTTTTCTTAGACACTCCAGACAATCACACAGCATTAGATACTACATAACCTTAACCTTTAGCATCTGAAGTGCATTGATAGGTGCAATGATAAGTATGGTCACTGGGGCCTAATTACACCGATTTGTGAAGTCGGGCATTTAAACTCCTCTAGCGGAAGCGTACGCGCACTCTGCTAGTAGAAGCAAATGCCCAATTCTATATAGTATTTAGTTTTAAATAGAGTAAAATTCAATATACATACATTTTCTAGTTATCTGCTTGATGTATATATAGGGTTTCCCCCCTGTGTCATGTAACTGAATCTTGCCTTTGTATGGTGCTTCTTGAAGCACCTGAAAATGTATAGTCCCAAGTCACATACCTTGCACTTCAGTTGATTTTTAATTTTGTCATCTTCCAAACAACGTATCATTGCCATTTTATGATGATATGAAATTACAGTACTCGAATTCACCATGAACGCGTGGAAACCTGAATGCAGTCTGTATCTCAGCTAGGATGCATGTGTTTGTTTCCAACTTTAGAAAGGGCACTATTCTATCTCAAATGCAGTGGAAGGGCTTGGCACTGAAGAAGAGAACAAAGACCCTGTATCCTTTCTTGAACTGCAATGCTTTCACTTTTCAGTCCTTTAGTTAAAAGACTTGAATATCTGGAGGGTGCAACAAAGATGTGAAACTTGCCAGTAGATAACCAAATGATTTTATTGCTTCCAGCTGGTTTATGACACCAGAGAATGCGAAAATATTTCAAATGCTAGAAGCAGGAGTGATTTTATAATGCAGAGCTACTCTATGAAGAAGCAGGGAACAGTTTTTACAGTATGCATCAAAATGACAAGAAAAAATTAAAAATAGAGTATAACTTCTTTGACTAAATATTTTCAATTCTTGCATTATACTATGCAGCATTATGTTCTTTGCTGATAGAGACAAAGTTAATTCCATTCACTTATCATAAAAATTGTATTAGATACAACATTTTTAAATACAATGTAAGCATCCTAACAGGAATGGACATTTAAATGCAGAGCAGCAACAGGCATTTAAACGCTTACCAGCAAGTGGGAATTTAAATAAAGTCTGGCCAGCTCAAGCTATCACCATGTTAAAAGTCTGGTGTTTAAAGGTTAAAAACAAATACAGCATTTTAAATAACCAAATGAAATGACATAGAAGACCACCACCTAAATAACAGATTACTTTCACATCCATTGCTGCCATCTGACCAATCAGACATATAAGCCTATTCTTATGCCTAATGAAATAGGATGCAACACAATAACTTGAAAATGTCCTGATCTCTTAATATGAACAGGTACCCAATAATCACACCTGTAACGCATTAACATCACAGGCATGTAATTTGAGGCCTGGTCAGGTACCAACTTCTCTGACTTGGTTTTACGTGTTCTTTGCACAAAGTACACAGAAGATTACTATATAATGAGTACTCATGTCTTTCCAGACACCCTATTGTATCTACAAAACTGCCAGATTCTTATGAAATTTAATACATGAAGTGCTGCCCAAAAATTCCCTAAATTCGTCTGCCTAAGCTTAACCACTTATCAAAATTTGTATTTGCCACCATCCCCTTCGGAGTAGCCCCATTCTACATTAATGTAGTGATCCCAGAAGGATTTCCATGATTGGAAGCACTGCTGGAAGTCATTTTGCATCAGCATCTTCATCACATCCTGTGATTCGGCCTGGATCCCTTCAGTGCTCTCATATTTTCGCCCCATGAACTTCAATTTCACTTTTGGAAATAATAAAAAATCACTGGGCAAGGCCTGTTGAGTAGGCAAGGTGGGGGATTACCATCATTTTCGTCGAAGTCAAAAGCTGCCGCACAAGGAGTGATGTATGGGGGGGGGCACATTGTCATGGTGCAGGGTCCAGGAATTCTTGCACCACTTGACTGAATGTTTGCACCAGATATTTTCCCTCAGCCACCTCAGAACATCACAACAGAAGTTTTCATACACAATCTGTCCTGGTGGAACAAATTCCTCATGCACAATGCATTCAGTGTTAAACAAAATCCAAAAAATAAAAAAAACAAATGAACATTGATTTATGTCCATGATTTATTCTGACCGTCTTACAGTGCGTACATTTATTTACCTTACTCTTCTCTCTTGCACTACATGTTTCAGCATTAAAGTGCCATCTTCAGGTGCTTTTCGATGTACGTCGAACTACTGCATTGGATGCCCTGTTGTATTTATACTAAAATAACTAAAATATATATTCGTCATATATATTGCTAAATTTTAAATATTAAAAATGTTAAAACTGTTCAGGATTTGTCATCCTTATGTCGTATTTCAGTACGCGAGTCACACCTATCTTCTGTCGGAGTATTCTTCCTACTTTCATGTGTATTGTGCTTTGTGTTGTGTCTTACTCCTGTGACTGCGTGTGTTATACTCATTGATTTGACATTGCTTCGAACTGGTCCTGCTTTCTTGAGTTGCATTGAATTTGGCATCTTCCATTGAGATGGTTGCTGCTTCGTCTCAGTGTCATATGCATAAACCAAAAATTCATCAGCAGTAATGATGGCGGAGATGACGTTGGGGTCATTTTCAGTCTGTTCCTTAAGCTCAGAGCAGACAGCAACACCAGGTTCCTTTTAGTCATTGCTGAGCAGCCTGGGCACAAATTTCACTGCAATGCACTGCGTGTAGAGCTCTTGAGACAAAATTCGCTGACACGTCTATATGAAAATAATTGTCAGTGGAATACAATCCTTGATAGTCTTATATAATCTCATTTTACACTAAGCCCGTATCAATCAATTTTCTAAAAACTGTCTCATCATTCAAAATCAGTATAAACTTCAGTTTAATTTAATAAAATACACCCCGTTAAGATGTACTTATATTTAATCAGCTTTGTCAGTGAACTTGTCTGTTGGCCTACGTTATGAATTCTTAGTGCTCATTTCTGACACAAGAATTACAAAACATTAACATGATCTGTACCTGCAATATGAAGAATGAGGTCATAGAGATGCAAATTTGAAGGAAATTTGTTTAGAAAATATGTATACTCTATTCAACCATTTTTTCTTTTGTGGTTTTGTTTAAAATCCTGCTTTAGATTAGTTTAAAATAAGCCATAACTACTTTCTTCTACGTCTTTCCTGCTTTCTGATTCTACCAGACTTCATTAGAGACTACATAAACTTAACAGTTCTTTCAATAAGGTAGGGTAAAGTTATCCCTGCGCTTAAGTAATTGAGCACTACACCATGAAGACATATAGGGGATTGGATGCATAGATCCACATTTTCTTGACCTCGGCACTAGCTAGAGGTGAGTGGTCAACTTCACGCGCCTGTCACTTTACCTTCAGGGAAAGAGCCCCTGTACCCATTAGATAGGAAGCTGGGTGGGTCTCAGAGCCAGTCTGGATGACATGGAAAAGAGAAAATTCTTGACCCTAACTGGAACTCAAACTCCAACCCCTTAGTTGTCCAGCCTATAGGCAGTTGTTATACTGACCGTGTTATCCCAGCTCAACAGTTCCTTCAGTATCATAAAATAACTTCTCACAATTGTTGTTCCAACAGCTGCATTTATCAGAAAAGGATTTCATGACAGCATTCAAGATGGATCATGGGCAGTTCTCTATGCTACCAGTGTGGAAACAGCACAACTTGAAGAAGGCTGCAAGGCTCTACTAACACAGTGGCAGCTTCCCATAATCACTACTACTCAAATTTCAGTGTGTCAATATTCTACTGACATTTTGCATACCATTTTAAAAGAAAGAATGAATGAATGAATGAATGAATAGGAATTTAGCTTTCAATTTTGTAATGTAAATAAAGTGAAAATTCTGGTGCTCCTAATACTAGTCCATTCTCTGCTAATTGCAACATTAGCCTGGATAAAAAAGATTACTTTGCAACATGTTCACAGTAAAAGCAGTAATCAAAGACTACAGAACACAGCTGGTTGCTTTTTGAAAAAGGAGCTAGACTGTGAGTTAAACTAAAACAATCTGTTGAAGCCAAATATATTTCTTTCTCAGTACCCACTAATCCCAGTGAACAGCACTGGAGAATCACCTCAAGTTTATGACAAGGCTGCCCATGATACTGTATGTAAATTATACAGCCTAAAAGACGGAAAATTTTGTGCAAAGTTCATTCCTATGGCTCTTGCTAGTGGGGGAGGAGGATTTTCTAATTAGTTTACAATTTCCATTATTATCAAAATACTAAAATAATAAAGCAGTTGGACATAGATATGTTGGGTTAAGGGTCCAAGAAATTCTAAAAAATTTCCCTTAGGGCGAAATATCAAAATAAAAGTCTTGAAGTCATTGTAAAACTAAAAAATTTATGCTGGATAGCTAACTTTTCTTCTTAAAATTCAATTTATATAAAAACTGAATTCATAACTTCTCAGCACAAACTTGTATTTCAATGGTCCTTCAGTTCAGAAGGTTATAGGCACCTTGACAAAACAAGCAAACTCTGTGATTTTAGTCCGCAAGAGATCAACCGCCTCTTGTCAGTGAAGTTTAGTGCCAACTTTTGCAGATAGAGGGTGTCGCATGGTCAGGGCAACAAACCCCGCTCCCGTTAATTTCGGTTTTTTAGACTGGAGCCGCTACTTCCTTGAAATAGCTCCTCAGTTATCATCACGAGGCTGAGTGCACCCCGTTCCAGACCCACTACTCAGAAAAAATCTTGTAACACCGGGAATCAAACATGGACCTCTGGATCTGTACTCAGGAACGCTGACAACTAGACCACAGAGGCGGTCTATATTCACCTTGATAAACAATAATTTTTCCAACATGGTATTTAGGCAGAAATGCTTTTCTCCTATATAGAAATTTAGTCTCACAATCTGTCCAGTTACAATGTACCATTGCCTCAGTCGACTCACCCAATTTAAAAGCCTTAAAAATCCCCCTAATATGCTTGAAATTCAGTTGGACAGGTTCTACAACATTCCTGAAAGTCTGTATATAGTAAAAAAACAAATATGCCAATATGACTTTTGTAAATAGGCAATACATCCACAAAAGTAGATTATGTGGAATTCAGTGTCAAAATGCAACAAAAATGTGAAGTTATTAAAAATATATTTTCTAGAAAAAGAGAACTACATTAATAAACACTCTTTATGTATTTCAAACATGTGTTTAAATTTGTCCTCCTTCTCTCCCCCTTTTTATTTTGTTCTTATCCCAATTAGTTGATACCTCATTGTATACAAATTGAGTAATTTGGTGACTTAAAAATCTCTGCTATGTTTGGAACATAACTATGCAATTAAAGAACCACAAGCACATTTTCTTGGCTAGAAATTTTCCAACCAATATAGAAAAAATTAAGACCATGAAACACCAAAGCTTGCTCAACACATGAGAATATATGATAAAACAGGGAAATTGTACATTGTATTGTATTGTGATGGGTTGCTCAAAGCATTAAGATATGGAACAAGAAAAACCTGTGCAATGCAGTTAAAAACAGAACTTCTGTTACATAGTAGTCTTCACTACTACTGTATGTCTCAATAATCACAACAGAGGAACTATTGAAGACATCTAGGCAATAGATACAGAAATGGGAAGTTACATCAGAGATGCAGAAAGAGAAACCTTCAAGGAGGTGATCTCCATATGGTTTGTCCAAAGCTACCTAAGGGATTACTGGAGATGAGAATCCAGGAGACAGAAGACAGAATATGACAGAATAATACAGAAGGATAAAGAAGAGAAGACTAGAGGCTAGTGCAAGATCCAGACCACAGTGAGAGATTTGTTATACAGAAGATGTAAAATATGTGAACTGTTGTAATCAAGTGAAATCGTAATAGACACACCCAATAAATCGAATCAGTCATATCTACGTGGGTCATTTCATAAATAATGCACAGGTTGGCAACACTGCGGATTAGATGACGCAACAACAGTGAGCCTCATGTCAGTTACAGTTCAGGCCTTGAGAAAGAAGCATGTTATATTGTTTCATTTATAATATACTCTGTTCTTAAATAACATGAGTTAGAAATGGAGCCTGCACGGTTCTCGGGTATTGTGACTGTTGAAGATCAAAGGTCGTACATTAAGATCAAAACTTTACATGGAAAAAACCCGACAGACTTGTTGCTATTGATGAAACGTGGGTTAGAGACTTTGAACCGGAACTGAAATCACAGTCCAACGAGTGGAGAGGTCCATCTTCCCCCACACCAAAACAATTTTGACGATCTGAATCAAAGGTCAAACAGATGATGATCTTTGCTTATGATCAAGGAATCATCATGACATACAGAGTTCTGTGCGGGAAGAGTGTCACAGCAGTTTATTATCATGACTTTATGCAAAATCTGCGCAGAAAGATGCACAAAAACCAACTTCAGTTGCTCGAGGCTGGGCCGATCATTCTCCATGATGACGCTTGCCTGCACATCGGGAATGTCATAACAGAAAAGCTGCGCCAATACAGTTGGGAGGTGTTGCCTCATGCTCCCTACAGCCCAGACATGAGTCCACCAGACTTTGACTTATTCCCATAGTTGAAACAACCTATGTGAGGCCGTTGTTTTCCCTTTCTGGCCGAGCTTTCTGCTGCAGTTACCCGAGCCATTCGACAGATCATCAAAGATGGTGTCCTGGATGGAATAGTAAAGCTTCCCACACGTTGGGACTCGGTCATTGAGACTATATTGAAGGACTGTAAAGAGATATAAAAAAACAAACAAACAAGGACATAAACAAAAAATTGTGTGCATTATTTCTGAAATGACCTACATAGCACTCACAAATATGAGCCACACATACACCCCTACATGTGATGGTGTGATACAATGAACTGTCCTTAATATTTATTGTAACAATTTAAATCTCCCATTACTAGAGTGTTGACAGGCACATTTAGACTCGGCATTAATGGAATTATATTGTAAGCACTGTGAAACTAGGTCTGCTGAGCCAGTGCATGCACTGAGGCTGTCATGTGATACACAATAAAGGTTAATTCTGATAATGACAAGTGTCTGTTTAACTTGCATGACCTAAATAACCAAGTTCAATTGTAATGTGGAAGAATCCATTCATTACATATAAATATCACTGTGACATTTATATCGACATGTAAGCTTTTTAATATTACAGATATAATAAAAGCAACTGCTTTTGTTAAGTTCATAAACATGACATTGGTTAAATGCTTAGTACAGTATATTTGATTAAAAAAGGCTTTTGCAGAAATATTACAACCTTAATATCACATTTCAATAGTACAAACTTCTTTCAGTACCCACCATGTTCTTGCATAAAAACTGCACAGGATTGTGTGAGGTGTAACTGGATATCCAGGGTTTGATCCCAAGCATGGGCACTTTATTATAACTTTTGTTTAATGAAATGGATGGGTAAAGATGGGGTTATGAATCCTCATATTCTTCCTGGTTGTCCTAAAACACATCATGTACAAATATTTCGGACACAGGAAAACTTCATTCATTCAAGATTATTTACAAATNCTGGAGTCCAAAAACAAAGAATGATACAACCCCCCCCCCAATTCCCTCCAAAGGATCCATAATGCCAAAGGCCAGCTTGTCTTTTGTTTGCTATAGTTAAATGCCAATTACAAATATTCCAGAGTCACACATATATGTAAAGCCAGAGTCATTTTGGCAAGGAAATAAAGATTATTTACAGATGCAAATCCATGATTTGTACTGAATTTCAACTTGGTTTTCATTGGGATGGTTAAAACATACTGTAAAATTCAGAAACAATTTTAGTGCACAAGCAAATTAATTATGATGGCAGAACAAAGGATATGGGTTCACAAAAGATTAATACAAAACTTGTTGCACTAGATTTCTGTGGCTAGATTAAAGTTAGATCCACCCAAAAGCTCATACTCAAATGTTGGCTTCCAAGCACATTACAAGTAGAAAAGATGAAATCCAGAAATTATGGAATGAAGTTCATCATGTAAAAGCATTAAAACATATCTTAAAGGGCTTTTGAAAAATGCTTTTTAATTAATATTTAATCAAATATGATATAAAAATTTGTTGTGTTCCTTGACAAAACTAGGGTTATAATCAGTGAGCAGATCCAGTAAAAATAAAATTTGAGGTTATTGAAATCAAAGTTGTGCTTTGCTTGCTAATTGCTTGAATTTGTCTTTAAGTTTGAAGATGGGAGTAGTGCATTCCTCTGAAATGTCAGTCACTCCGGTCACTCCTATCTGGTTATATACGAGGGGGGACCCAAAAATAACCGGAAACAACCTGTTGCGCGCGCATGCTTTGTAGTTACGAGTTGTGCTGCTAGGTGGTGTTAGCTGGGGGTCTCCTGTGACTGTTAGTGAGCTGGCGTCAGTCTGAGTTAAGTGGTTTGTCTGTGGTGCTCTGTTGTGTGCGTTCCTGTTTCAACCCTTTGGCGATTAGTGAGATGGCCGACCAGAAGGAACAACGATTGTGCGTGAAATTGATGAAGATCGTCGAAAGACCATTGACCAACTTTCTGAGGTAACGAACATCTCGTGGAGCATGGTCCAGCGAATTTTAACTGAAGGTTTGCACATGAGACGGGTGTCTGCAAAATTTGTNGTTTCTGGTTATTTTTGGGTCCCCCTTCGTAGCTCAACATCCCAGAAAACAGTATTTTTCACAATTAATATAATTTGCCCTCAAACTTTCAGTAGATATCTTACATAAAATTTCATATTGATATGATGGGTTTTTGGACTTTATCCATCGTCCTGGTTTTTAAGATAACAAATAAAAACCAGGACGATGGATAAAGTCCAAAAACCCAACATATCAGTGTGTTATACACCATCGTCAGAATCCTATGGTAACTACTTAATAAAAATTCATCGAAATCTCCCATACCAAATGCATCAAGTTAAATATATCAGCAGACATACATGCACAAAACTCCTCATGTGGCATTCCTCATTTTCGGAACCCAAACAACAAAAGTATTAAAAATGCATCTATTACCTTTGTACTGTCTGTCTGTCCACATGTAAAATCTTGTGAAGAGATTTTAATGCATTTTTATATTTGAGAGTTCTGTAAAAATTTGTTGAGGCATTTCAATCAAACAAAATAACAGAATAAGATCTAAAATTCTGTGATGATGATATATTATTACAGATGTATTGTTTCTGTCCAGAAACATAACATATGGACATAAGAGAAACTTTACACGAATACCTGGTTACCGAACATTTGGCCCAGTGAAAAATGCCCAGTGTACAATTCAATCTATATTATTTGTTCCAACCCATAATTATATAATTACATAATTTCATCCAATCAAAAACATCCAGGCAAGGCCCTATGACCATATCTGTTATTTCTTCATGTCCTGTGCAAACATGTTCCTAACGTTTAAAACTGTACAGTGCATTTCAGCTAATGCTCCATCATCATAATGAGAGTTCATAACAGTGGGTGGTATTGGTTCATGTTTTTTAGTGAGACACTTAACATTTGGCAAAGTTGTGTCATTGGAACTGAAAGAGGATTATGCAAGACCTAGAAACTAAACCTGAGATTATTAAATAATTGAGTGCAAACACTCCAGAATTGTTACAATATACATATTGTGATGTGTTACCTTATGTCCATCACCGCACAACGGCTACAATGGAAATTGTTGAGTTCCAACAGCAACAAATCGAATACAAACAGACCGCTACAAAGGAGAGTTCCCAAGGCAACGGCCTGCCGAACATGTGAGTTTGGAATAGGCACTTCCATGGTAACGCAAAGAACAGGGAGCCGTTGTGTAGACAATGCAGAAGCAATGAACGCATCTCCCCAGAAATGAACTACAGAGACTTCATTGCGCCCGTTACGTAACAGCGGACAGTATAAACGAAACAGTGAGGAATGGTGTCTGGTATCCAGTCCGCAGAACACCTACATAAGCCGAGAGCTACAGAGAGATTGGAAAATAGAGTATTAGAGTATTGTAGTATTGAAGATTTGAGCATGGAGTATTGAGAATGAGACAATCTTGGGATAGCCGCCGCCAGAGACAGTTGAGATCCAACCATGGCCAAGGATAGTTGCGACGAAGCATTGGAGTATTGGGCCAGAAGTCAAGTGATATTGCAAGCGATAATAATTGTAAGGTGTGTAAGTGTGAGTGTCCAATAAAGATTCGCATCCGAGACCCATGTGAAGTTATTTGTCGCGTGACATACCCAACACGTGACAATATATTTCCAAAGCTGAATATTAAAAAATTAACAGTGGTCTCTTGAAAACTTGCTAAGGTTACAAAAATCTCTTTAAAGCCAAGCAAGAAACCAGCAGAAGCAGGTTGCATGCTAAGCTCTCTTGTCTTCTTGCTTCTGCTTGTTTCTCTATTGGCTTATTGTTTTACTCTGAAGAAGGAGGCAGTATGTTTCTCTGAAACGTTGTGCGCTGCAAACTACACAACATTACCACCCAAAAGACTGTACTCTTCACAGTCATTGGCATGAGAAACTCACATCCAGCATACCAGAATTATAATATCCATACACTTCCTAACTTGTTTGCTCTGCACACAGAATTATAAATACTTAATAGATAGCATTAAAAAAATATACAACCATTCATAATTTTTATCTAAATGTAGGTTGATGATCTGCCAGTATGATACAAATGAATGTGACTCATACCATCCTGAATTCTTTGGTTGCAATACTGTGGTAGTGCAGAGCTGTCAGTATACACATTCATGCTTCAAACAGTGATAATGACTAATTACAGCAGTCAAAATGCATTATAGAGACTTGAGGGCTGCTGGTCAATAAATTTAATGTACAGCACAACTACTAAAATTACAATCTGTTATATGGTGGTCCAAATGCCCTTAAGCAAACTGGAATATTAAACAGTTCATTATTTCTTGTGAACTGGGAAAGGATTATTGGTATAAGAGGAGTATAAAATTATACAGGATTTCAAGGCAGTATAAAGTTATTCTGAATTTCTGGGTAGGGCAGTATAAAATTATACAGAATTTGTGGGTAGGGTTGCATAAAATTATACTGGCTCTAAGGCCAGTATCAGTTGTACAGGATTTGTTTGTGGGGCAGTATAAAATTATACTGGCAGTAAAAAATTGTACTGGATTTCTGGGGAAGGTAACAAAAGTACACTGGATTTCAGGAAAATACAAAATTATACAGGATTTGTGTTCAGGGTGGTATAAAATTATCCTGCCTATGAGGGCAGTATGAAACTGTGCTGGAGTTCTGGCAGGGTAGTATAAAATTATCCTGGATTTCAGAGTGGTACAATATATAATGAATTCGAGTGCATTATAAAATGATGCTGGATTTCAAGGCAGTATGAAGTTATACAGGATTTCTTGGAAAGGCAGTATCAAATTATAAAGGATTTATGTTCATGGCAGTATAAAATTATACTGGATTTCAGCATAGTAAAGTGCAAGACATACAAGAACTTTTGTCAGTCCAGGCTATGTACAGGAGATTATGCCTTTTCTCAAGAAGCTCTCTCTCTACTACTGCCAAAAGCTTAATTGCCGCCAAATTTAAGTCTCTTATTTTTGGGAAATAATTCAGGTCAAAGTTAAAGGCACATTACGACCATCCCATCTATATGCCAGTCGGCTGCCCGCAATTGGAACTGCATGTGAGCCAATTGAGTACTAGTGGGTGTCAGAGACATAAATTTGTCAATGTCCTATCTTTGGATTGTTCTTGGTATTGTTTCATAATATTAGCCACCTGCTACCAGGACCGATTGAGATTAAAACCCCCATCCCTGTGGCAGTTTCTGGGTTGAATCTTGTTCCCACTGATCTCCTTTAATAAGCTTGTTATTAGCTCAGCTATCATGCAACCTGAACACATGGTCACAGAAACATTGGTAATTTTTAATCAGATGACATTGCTGATTGCCTGAGAATATTTTATCAGCTCTAGCAGCCATGAAAGCTCCAGATCTTACAATTTTTATTTCTCACATGTCGCTGTTGTCGAGGGGGCTGATGTGGATGTTTTGGAGAGTTAAGAAGCGTAAAAAGTCACGAGCAGTCTCGAGCGTCACGAGCACGTTATCGTCACAAACGGTATCCATTAAATATTCATTGAAACGGTGTATTAGAGGTCCTCCGTTGATAGATGGCAGCAACAGTCGTTTGCTAAGCGCAGCAGATTAAATCATCTGCATCTCTAACCTGGTAGAAGGGTGTAGAACGTGTAGAACGAGAGGTGTAAATGGATATAGATCATCTAGATGATCTAGATATCGCCAGATATTTCCATAGCGTTCCGTAGTAAGTCGGGAATCAGTGATCTTTGTTTTTCGTCTGTCTGATTTGCTGTGGTAGAAAGCAGTAGGCTTTTCGCAGTTGGTACCATAGAAAGCCACAATTATTTATTTCACCCCGGATTATAAACATCGTATAGAGATGGATAATAGTGAGAGCGGTGACGATTTGGGAAATAACTTTCTTACCGTCGAATCACAAAGCTATATGGTTCAGGGAGAAGACCTCGATGGTAAGGTTATGTTCAATATGGAAGGAAATGTGTGGAGTGCTGGTAACTGTATAAGAATTTTATAGCATGCAGTACTGACAATACAACTGAACTGTCATGAGAGGTTGGACGGTATTTTAAATCGTGCCTTCATGACAGGAAGCAAATAGCCATGAAGTCACCATTGTTAAATTGTAGAACGTACTAATACTACGACAGTAGGAAGCATGAAGTTCCTCAGACTCTTGGCCTGCTGCTCTTTCATATGTGTGTGTGTGTATAGCATAGCAGCCACTTGCGTACAATCATAAACTCTCATGCTAAATACATACATTGTATTGCATTGTATTTTATTTCATCCGTTTTGCTACATAGTAACACTTGGACACGTCATTCGGTAATACAAGTTAACAAAATAAACTGCAGAGTTACAAGCATACTACCAACATTTGTTACAATCATAAGCAATATATAAATACATTCCAAAAAATATACAAACTACTATATATAGCTCATGAATGGCTATGACATCCAAACATAAGTACTTGCACCATCCACTTTTTTATTAAAACTAACAAATTCATTTATCATATAAAAAGAATGTTTCAATAAAAATGATTACAAGTCTTTTTTTAAAAGCTGAAAAACCATCGAGTTTTTTATTTTGTTTGCACCTTACTATACAATTCTATCCCCATATTTACCACACTTTTTTAAATCATGTAGTTCTGTAGAATTGAACATGAAAATCCTTGTTTATTTTGTATTATAACTATGAATATTTATATTTTGGATCAAATCTGCTTTGTGCTTTTTTCTGTAACATAACACCTGTAAGATATACAAAGATGTGACCGTGAGGATGCCATAATATTTAAAAATGCATGACTCTTCTTTACCAAATCCACTAATTATTTGCAGCACCCTCTTTTGAATTTTAAATACCTTTATACTATCACTATCACCACCTTCCCCCCAAATATTATTCCATATCTCAATAACGATTGAAACTTTCCAAAATAAATGCTTATTAACATATTTGGACTCAAAACTCCTGTTAGTGATTTAATTATATATAGGATGTTTTACTAAGTTTTGAATGTAATGACTGGATGTGGGTATTCCATTTAAGGTTTTCTATAATATCTATACCTAAAAATCTCAGTTCCGATGAGTAAGTATTTTCGAAGTTGTTATAGAGTATTTGCGGTCTAACTGCAAACCTATTTTTACTAAGATGGAATGACATAGCAGCTGTTTTTTTTTAATATTTATTAAAAGGTTATTTACCTGAAACCATGTTTCATGATCTTATTTATTTTTTGTTGAGCTACAGCTTTATCTTTATCAATAACAAGTACATTAATATTGTCTGCAAACAATACAATTTCCGCACCTTGTACAGTTAGTGGGAGATCATTTATATACAGAAGAATAAGTAGTGGTCCCAGGATTGACCCCTCTGGTACCCCATGTATTGTTTCTCTTAGGAGTGATATATATGTATTTTGGATGATATTTTTATTCATGTGATTTATTTCAACAAATTGTACTTGGTGAGATAAGTAAGATTTAAACCATAAATTAGTAACCCCTCTGATCCCATAGTAATTTAATTTATCTAGTAATACGTTGTGGTTTATCACATCATATGCCTTTGTCAAGTCAAAAAATATTCCTATAACGTGTAACCGTCTATCCATCGCCTCCTGTATACTCTCAGTGTGAAGGTCTGGGAAGCTGTTTCTGTCGATTTGTTTTTCCTAAATCTATTTTGCACTTCTGTTAATATAGTATATTTTGTTACAAGGGATATCAACCTGTTATACACCACTTTTTCTAGTATTTTGGAGAAAACCGTCAAAATTGATAGTGGCCTGTAATTACAAACTTCCTGTCTTTTCCCTTTTTTGTACAGTGGTCTTACTTTAGCTATTTTCATCTTATCCGGAAAAACCCCCAATTTTAAAGAAGCACTGAAAATATATACTAAAGGTTTCTTTATGTAATGTGAACATCTCTCGGCTAAATATTCTGGAATTGCATCAAGGCCTGCAGATGGTTTACCTCTTAGACTTTTTATTACCCTCTCTATTTCAATTTCGGTAATAGGGAGCCAAAGCATTGTGTTCATTTCATATTCAGTCCTCTCTTGTGAGGTTTGTACTGGAGAATGGTTAATATTATTCGCTAAAAGATCTTCAACACTTTCAATAAAAAAGGAATTCAACATGTCTGCCATTTTTTGTGGCTTTGAAGTTTCCTCACTTCCATTCTTTAAACTAGTTATATAGTCGCCCTGTCAAGAATTTCCAGTTTCCTTATTTATTATTTGCCAAATTGCCTTTGTTTTGTTATGTGAACTTAACATGAACCTATCATTTTCTTGTCTTTTAGCTTCTGTTATAACCCTTTTATAGATTTTCTGATATCTATTAATGTATGCTAATACATCGTTTGAAAAATTTGTATTTTTCTTTAAAGTGTTTAAAAGTCTCTTTTTCCGACTTGAAACCTTTATCCCCTGGGTAATCCATTTAATCTCATTACAGTTTTTCTTATAAACTGTCTTTAACAGAAAAGCTCTTTCAAAACAGTACAACAATCTGTTCAAAAAAGTATTGTAAGAGGTATTTACTTCATCATATAAAAGAACATCTTCCCAGGATTCCATCTCAAGTAGAAGGTTGAAATCTTCTATATTCCTGCCTGAAAACTGTCTTCTTGTAAGTTTTTTTCCATCTTGTTTTAGGCTTATTTACCTTTATATGTAAGATCTGTGCAAAATGATCTGAATACCCCAAATCTAACACTTCCGTTAAGTTTTTACAGTATAGCTTATCAGTTATCATAACATCTATTAATAATATTGAGTTTTTGTGACCCTTGTTGGAGATGTAAAAAAGTAAAGCTATCCTTGTACCAGGTCGTGAAGGCCCGTAGTGTTGTGAGACGTTGAGGGTCCCACATTATCTAGACAATCGGCTCAAAGATGGTAAGGTTGTCAGCCTTACTCGCTGGCCGCGCTTTACTCCTCAGGAAAATTATTTAATTAATTCCTGGTACTCATTTCTGTTAGAGGCTGAGTAAACCCCAGGGCCTAGTGCGGCTGGAAGGATTAGGTCAACTGAAAAAATCCAATGACCTCATCGGGACTTGAACCCGTAACCTTCCAGCTTGTAGCATAGCCCCTCAACCACTATACTACCACGTGCCCGTGTTGGAGATGTAACTGTATTTATCAAGTTATAAGTTTCTAAAAGAGTCAGTAATGCAGTAAGCTGTGCGTTATCTTGCAAGAAGTTTATATTCCAGTCACCACACAGAATTAATTTCATACCTTTCATTTGCACTTTAAAAATCACTATTTCCAACTTATTAAAAATGTATAAAAGTCACTATGTGGTGATCGATAAATACAAACTAAAATTAGCTTAAAATCCACTAGTTCCACTTCAGTCATCTCAAAATCATTTTCACTACCCATGCTTCTTAAATAACTTACTTCTCTTGCTTGTAAATCCTTACATACCCATATACATGAACCTCCACCATTTCTACTAATTCTACTAAAATTTTTTACTAATTTATAATATTCAATATTTAATGTTCTCATTTGTTCATCATTTAGCCAATGTTCAGAGAAACATAGGATACTGTACTGGATTTTAGGTCCTCACAGCTGTGACTGTGAAGAGTTCAGTTTTCTGGGATGTAATGCCCTGTAGTCAGGTGAAAGCCAACGTTTCAGAGCAACATCCCATACATCTTCAGGACTGAAGAATAATCCAAGCAAGAAATCAGCATGAAGCAAGCAGCATTGGTTGACTTTCACCATACTACACAGCATTTTAACCCAGAACACAGCTCTTCTTTAAACCCATACTGTGTGCTGATGATACTAGTATTATAACTTCATATTTGGAAATTGACTACTTGCAGAAGCATGTGAATGATCCTTACTGGCATGAACAAATGATTTAAATCCAGTAAACTTACAGAAAATTTTGTAAAAAGAATTCATGAAATGTTGTAAGAGCAAAACCTAATATTAATCTCAATGTAGGGTTGAAAAAGTAGAAACATATTTCTTGCCCACAAAATTTATGTTAAATTAAATTGGAAAACGTATTGAATATGTGAGTTTGCCTTTCATGACTAGGCCACATTGGAATTTGAGAGTTTTCCAGCATTCTGGTAAACCCTGCAGTTTACATCTTCAGGACTAACAAGTTTTTGAGGTAGCTCTTGTATTAGACATTGTTGGAAGCCATCAAAGTGATAAAACGCCCTCATATCTTTCAACTGTTCAGATGGATACCAGCTACCCCTGTAACAGGCCATGAAGGCCCATAGGTCTGTGAGATTTCATTCATTCATTTTATTTGGCATTCATAATTGCTACAACAGTAACACTTGAACAAGTCACGTCATTAAATACATCATTCTTGAAATCCTTTTGCCCAGATGCCTAAAGGATTAGAATCTGTCAACAATAAATAATCACTCTTGATGTGTTTCACCTATAATTAAAATATAACACACTATCAAACCAGATAAATAATAAAAGTAGATACAATTGTGTACTGCACATCTTCAAATAGTTGCACTGGGTTGTTGTTTCAATTTCCATGGTAGCAGCCTGTTCGAATTTTTAGCTTATTTCTATTGAAGCCGTAATATCTAAGGACACATTTAATAGATTAAAGTACAATACTTGAATTTTGAAATGTTTAATAATATCTGTTTTTTTTACATCATTTAAAAAATAAAAAGTAACAATTTTTAAAAGTCAAGGCTCCCACATTTTCTTTAGACAGTCAGCTCACAGATGGTAGTAAGGTTGTTAGCCTTACATGCCAGCTGCCTTTTAACCCCCAGGAAGATTCCTGATACTCATTTCTGTTAAGAGGCTGAGTCAACACCAGGGCCATAGTGTGGCTGGAAGGATTAGGTACACTGAAAAACTCTGCCTCATGAGGACTTGAACCTGCTACCTTCTGGTTTGTAGCATACTGCCT